TGTGCAGAAAAAGTGATCGTCGAAGACTCCAGTTATAGCCTGACGGTGAAACAGAAGGAAGGAGACGGCGCAAGGAGTCAGGCCGAAGCTGAAGCAGCTCCAAGGCCCAAGCACCTGGCCAAGCCCAATAGGCGCTATGCTGGCCCAGAGTGGAACAACTAGCTCTATTTGTGTTTCTCAAAAAAAAAAAAAATGTGTCTTGAGTGCGTGAGAAGATGTAACAAAAAACAAACTACAAACTGAGAGCATAGACACAGATAGAGACAGACAGCATATCCTACAGCAATAATAAATTTAAGCAAGAAACTAAATAAATTTCAATCCTCGGATAATCTAAACAGGGGAAATGCTAAAAAGATCTCGTGGCAACCAAGAGTAATAAAAAGGAAAATGTATGTAAATTTCAGTTCTCTTTTTTTTCGTTCAGTACTCACTGTGTTATTGCATGGATTAGTAGCATCTCCATAAGTTAATAATCGATACATACATTTACGTTGTTTCCTGAAATGGAATTATTCTGTCTGGCGCTGGGACCTGTTGCCGGCGGGTTCGTCAGCATGGTTTCTGACGGGTGCACCATATGACCGCAGCAGCAGCATGGTGTGCGTGATGCTGATGCACCAGTGGAAGCAAGGGCCCGAAAGGTGCCATCACCGGAGATGGTGCTGGTGCAAGAACCACCCCTGGCCGCCGGACGACGTGCCCTCTCGCCATCTGTTAGCAGCACACGATCTAGAGGATGAACTTAGATCACTCCAACTCCTAATCAATCAGCACAGGTAATAATATCTGATACAATAAGAGATAGAATCAGGGGAAGGCAGCAAGCAAGGGAATTAAGGTGTCGGGAAGAAGTTACTAGAAGGATATAGAAGAGAGAATCTGGGTACAAGAGGAAGGAACTTGAGGAAGAAGATAAACAGTAGAGTCTAGGAGGAAGAGGAGACAAGAGACTGGTTCTGTATTCTTCCATGTCCCCCATTCCTCAGTTGTTGCCTCATTTTGTACGCCACCCTATCCATCCGATTGGGCTTCATGACCAGCCCATAGGCCCAGCTTGATAGTCTAGTACTCAGGCCCATGTATCTAACATTCTCCCCTCCTTAAAAATCGGCTTGCCCCCAAGCCGATGTAATAATATCAGCTTAATTGATAGCCTGTTCGGATGGCTGGCTGATTCGTGGCTGGATCGTGGATTATTACTGCTGACTGGTTTGGTGTGAGAGAAAAATACTGTTCTGGCTAGAAATTTACGATCGTATACCCTTGACCATGTGCAGGACAACTTAAAATCTCTCTGAGCAGGATGCTTTCGATGATTGACTAGAATATGAGAAAAAGGACACACCCACTTGAAGATTTTCTTCTGCTGTAGAATCAGTACACATGTAGGAAACTAAATAGTGGTAGTAGTGAACATTCCACACAAGCTGACAGCTTCTCCATGATTTGAGCGGAGCAACTCAAAACTGGATATCAGAAGTTTCAGCACCTCTGGCAAGCTAGAATCAAAAGCCAAACATTGTTGGAACCAATCTTGTTCCAATTGCCAATACTCCTTGCCGTCGCAAATAAGCTGGAACACAAGAAAAAATGCAAGCCAGCCATTTGAGTGTATGACCACGAGATGCATAACATAAAATAATATAGGCTGACACTGTTCCTTGTAGTGTCCTCTTGATGTTCTTGAATTATAGAGTTCTGATCCATATGTCAAGCCCCTATCAAGTCCAGTGGATGTGCCATTGTGCCAAGTCCAGGTATCAACACACTACCGGACTCCTTGAGTTTGCCGAGTGCCCGAAACACTCGGCAAAAGACATAAAACACTCGGCAAATGGTTCGCCGAGTGTAACACTCGGCGAACAGCAAAAAAAAGTGACGGCAAAGCCAACTTTGCCGAGTGTTTTTTATTGGGCACTCGGCAAAGCCTTTGCCGAGCCGAGTGCCCGACACTCGGCAAAGTTGAAACTGAAAAAAACCCGAAATAAATGGGAATTTTTACCCATGGAATTTTTTTTTTATCGATGGAGGCTCCCACCGGCCAGCGTCCACCCATCTACGACATTTTTCGCATGAATTTCATGACTACGCGGCCGACGCGATTCGAACCCGAGATCTCCCGCTGTGCACGTACCTTCTCTACCACTGCACCACACTCTCACTTGTGTCTGGATTCCGTTTTAGTTCCCAATATATTATACTAAACCGAGTGTAAATTGCATGTTTGAGGCCCTAAACGAATTCAAATAAAAAAGTTGTAAACTGCAAAGTTTCATAACTTTTCGAGATCTACACTTTTAGTTTAGGAAGTTTTTCCATCTGAGGTCGTTTACAAAATTTGAATTTTACAATTTTGAAATTCAAACACAGTTTTGCATAACAAGATGTTTTCAAATAAAAAAGTTGTAAACTACAAAGTTTCATAACTTTTCGAGATCTACACTTTTAGTTTAGGAAGTTTTTCCATCCGAGGTCGTTTACAAAATTTGAATTTTAAAATTTTGAAATTCAAACACAGTTTTGCATGACAAGATGTTTTCAAATCAAAAAGTTGTAAACTACAAAGTTTTATAACTTTTCGAGATCTACACTTTTAGTTTAGGAAGTTTTTCCATCCGAGGTCGTTTACAAAATTTGAATTTTAAAATTTTGAAATTCAAACACAGTTTTGCATGACAAGATGTTTTCAAATCAAAAAGTTGCCAATTACAAAGTTTCATAACTTTTCGAGATCTACAAAGTTTATTTTTGTTGTTTGGTCATCTGTTCATCCGACATGGTCGTTCTAACATTGTTCACAAATCTTATATATCTCTCTTGTAGTTTCATAAAATACAATAGAGATATGTTAGATTTGTGAACAAATTTATTTTCACTTTGTCGTATGAAGAAAAGACCAAAACAAACATTGTACATCTTGATGAGTTATACAACTTTGTAGTTGAAAACTTTTTCATTTGAATTAATTTACTGCTTCAAAATGTGATTTGAAATTTTCTTTGCCGAGTGTCAAAAAAAAAACACTCGGCAAAGAAGCTCTTTGCCGAGTGTCAAAAAAAAAACACTCGGCAAAGAAGCTATTTACCGAGTGTCAAAAAAAACACTCGGCAAAGAGACTTTTTGCCGAGTGTCAAAAAAAACACTCGGCAAAGGCGTCTTTGCCGAGTGCCCGAAAAACAACACTCGGCAAACCACCTGGCACTCGGCAAAGAGCCAGTCTCCGGTAGTGACACTAAGTAGCAGCATGGTTTTGCAATCAATGATGAGGTACAAAAGAAAACCTGTTGTGCCCCAAAGCTTCCAAGGAAACAACGATACTCCATTTATAAGTAACTAAGACTGTCTCCAACGGTGTTGGCAAACCGTGACCCATCCCCAAAATGGGTAGTGCATAGTGCTTTTGCGGTAAAAAACCACCCTCCAATAGACTACCCAAACATGGAAGGCATTTTGCGTCGGAGGCAACACGGTAGGCAAACTTGCGTCCTCTCTCCGTCCCTTTGGCAGCACATGAGCTCCCTCCCCTCCAGCCGCAGCAGCATCTGGCGGTCCCTCCTCCTCCCTCCTCCCTCCTCCGGCAGCGCTCCCACGGCGAGATCTGGCGGCGGCGAGCTCCCTCCCCTCTCCCAGCGCGAGATCCGGCGGCAGCGGGCTCCCTCCCCTCTCCTACGGTGAGATCCGGTGGCGGCAGGCTCCCTCCCCCCTCCCACGGCGAGATCCGGCAGCGGCGGGCTCCCTCCCCCTCCCACGATGAGGCGCGGCCCCTTCTCCTCCCTCTGACCGAGCATCCGACGGTCCCTCCTCCACCCTCCTCCCTCCTCCGGCAGCGCTCCCACGACGAGATCCGGCGGCGGCGAGCTCCCTCCCCTCTCCCAGCGCGAGATCCGGCGGCGGCGGGCTCCCTCCCCTCTCCTACGGCGAGATCTGGTGACGGCGGGCTCCCTCCCCCCTCCCACGGCGAGATCCAGCGACGGCGGGCACCCTCCCCCTCCCACGGCAAGATCCAGCGACGGCGACCCTCTGGACTTTTGCGTCTGTTGTTGGAAACGTGAAGTTTTGGGTACGCGACCTTTTCGCTGTGTGCAGCCTAAACCAACGAATGCGTCCCGTATTTGGGTTCAGGCTGTTGGAGACAATCTAAAGACAATGTTTGCAACACTCTTGGCAGCTCACACAATGCATGAATGTGACCCTACACTTGGGCACTGAACAACTAAGCACAAAAATCACAGATAACTGAACCCATAATCCTTTGCTGTGGGGTGGTGGCCATGGAGGCTTGGGCACCATGACACCTTGGGTGAATCCAAACAACAAGCATGGTTCAACTCCATTACCCAAACACGCAAACTCCATAGGTGGAGGCCATGGTTGCGTTAACTGCACTAGATTCTGAGCAAGAATTCCCTCAGACACTATCTGAACAGCATGAGTTGCAATGGTTGTAGAACAGAGCGGAACAACAGCACCATCAACTGAGTATGCATGGGCGAGATTAGTAGTGAAATACCTTGGCTGGTTATGCTCTGCAACGTCCTAGAATACCACAATAGCAGGCCCAAGGGTGGAGCGTGAGTCGATGACAGAGGTAAATTCTTCTGCTGCTTCCACTAGCTCAGGTATGGAAGGAAACACCGGCGCCGCAGCAAGGATCGACGAAGGAGCCGGTGCAGTGGTCACTGACTCAGGGGCGCACCCAACATGGTTGTGATCTGGTGTCGAACACCATGAGGGCGATGTTTGTGCGAGCTCGCCGGGAACAACCTGGGTAACAGCAGGCCACAGCTCCTGGAGCTCCACCAGGGGATGAAGCACTCTCTGTCAGAGCTCACCCACCTCGAGCTCGGCCATGTAGAACATCGGGGCTAGCCCATGGTTGTTGTCGCCCCAGCGGAGCATCTCCCCCTCCTAGAGCGCGCCGATGGGGACGTCGGCGAAGCTGCTGTCGCCGGCCGAGCAAATTGTCAAACATGTGGCCTGCGCTGACCTCGCAGCCATCACCAAGCCAGCAGCCCACCACCTGCAGCGCCTACAGTATCGACGCAGAGCGTAGCTGTGGCGGGTGCCTGGCCATTGCGACCGACGGCTCGGTCGAGCAGCGCATCAAAGTGGGTGACGCCGGACTCCGGGTCGTCGTCAAGGGAGCCATCGTAGCCACCGAGTGGGGTGGCACGGAGCAGACACATGACGGAGCCGAGGCAGACGCAGCGGAGAAGCCCGGGGTCGTCGGGCGCGAAGTCATCGTGGAGCCGCTGTATGTTCACGTCGACGAAGACGCGGCTGCTGGCACCCATCCCCTCGGCGCGGATGATGGGGCGCCGCTCCTGCTTGGCACGTGCGATGAGGAAGAAGGGCTGCGCTTCCATTTGTACCAGCGACACGGATGGGGAGGCGCAGAGAGGCCTCTAGCGGCGGGAAAGCACCGCCGTGCGCGCGACATCCTTGATGGGGAGGCGAGAGACGATGTCGCGGAGAAGCACATCTGGAAGGAGGCTGAGGCGGTCAAGGTCGACGATGTCGTCGAGCGAGGCGGCTAGACGGTGAGGACTCTCCGCGGCATCGAGCATGGCTTGGACCGCTGCGGGGCCGGGGTTGGGCTCGTCGGTGGAGGCAGCCTCGTCGTCATTGCTGGAGAGCTCGGAGTCGAAGGCGACGTCGGAGTCGGTGGAGGTGGCGTCAAGCACGGGAGTGGGCTCGTGGACGACGTCGAGCAGCGCGACGGGGACGTTGGAGGTGAGGCCGTGCTTGTTGCGGATTTGGGCGAAGCCTAAGACGTGGATGGCGGAGAGGTCGAGGTCGCGCTCCTCCGGGTCATGGGCAGGCTGCTCTAACAGCCCACCCCAGTTGTCCGGGACCACCTCAGCATCGATCTGCTCGAGGGTGCAGACGTAGAGGTACTCAGCGACATCCCGCTGCTCCTTCGTCAGTGGAGGCGAGAAGCACCGGTCCCAACGAGCCTCCATCTCGTCGAACCACCGGTTGAACTCATCAAGGATAAGCTTGAGTTGAGAGGGATCCATGGAGCTAGACCGAGAATCGACTGTCTCCGATACCATTTGTTAGCAGCACACGATATAGAGGATGAACTCAGATCACTCCAACTCCAAATCAATCAGGACAGGTAATAATATCCGATACAATAAGAGATAGAATCAGGGGAAGGCAGCAAGCAAGGGAATTAAGGTGTCGGAAAGAAGTTACTAGAAGGATCTAGAAGAGGGAATCTTGGTACAAGAGGAAGGAACTCGAGGACGAAGATAAACGGTAAGTCTAGGAGGAAGAGGGGACAAGAGACTGATTGTGTATTCTTCGATGTCCCCCATTCCTCATCTGTTGCCTCATTTGGTACGTCACCCTATCCATTCGATTGGGCTTCACGACCAGCCCATAGGCCTGACACCATCGCCATCACCGCTGGAGCAAGGATGGCTGGCGGCTGCAGCCCGGCAGCGACAGTACTGCCGCCGGTACCCGGTGGCAGGTACGGTGGCGGCACGACTGCTGGTGGATTCATGTCGCCGCACCCAAACCACATTGCCTGGATTTGTTGCTGCAGTGACTTGATGTGCTGGATGGTCTGGTCCAGAGTTGAGGCTTGGTTGCTCTGAAATGCCACAAACAGGATCATCAATCGGAGCAGACGACAGATCGATCAGACATTGACCATAATTAAGTGTGTGTAGATAACTAGATATTCCCTCCGTGCCTAAATATTTATCGTTTTCTTTTCCCGAGAAACAATTTTGATTAAATATATATTAAAATTATTAATATTTATGATACATAATTAATATCATTAAATATATATTTGAATCTAGTTTTTTAATAAATTTATTTGGAGATAGAAATGTTGCACGTATTTTTTATAAATTAAATTAAAGTTATCGACGCGTAAATCATGACGACAAATATTTAGGGATGGAGGGAGCATGTGTAAAAGGCTAAAAGAGGAGTACAGAGCGTCCTCCGATCGACCTTGTCGTCGCATCCTGGAACGAGCTGTTGCAGGGTCTTGAACTTGTCGTTTATCTTGCGCCTTCGTCTCTGCAATATACAAATATATAAAAATATGGCAGGCTACACGCGTACGCGATAAGAATTTTTTTGGCAAATCCACTAGTAGCTGAAAGGTACGCATCAGATAAGAGCACTACGTATGCTTCAGTACCTTCTCTGTCAGGTTGTGTGTTTCTGCAGGATGAGACCTCCTTGCTCCACCTGTCGCCTTCTTCCTGCTCCCACAGGAGTAGTAGTTTTCTGTTGAATCCTATCACACGAACAATGCATGATTCGTCAGACCTTTCATTAAATTTGCGGCACTTTTGCAGAAGCATGTGACGCTATGGACGGAAGACATAGAGCAAAGGGTTGACGGGCAGTCAGCACACGTCAGGGAGTCAGGGCTTGGGTGATTGGAGTTTTGGTGAACCATTCTTCTTCTACTGAAGACCCCCTGTAGTTTCTGATCGAGCTGCCTGGTTTGTCCTCGGTGTTTGTTTTATTGCGTCCGTTGCCTGAAATTAACTTAAAATTCAGGCACCTCAAAAATAAAAGAAGCGTCTAAATATATATGTAAGTGCATAGCATTAAAAGCTATCTATCTAGAAAAACAAAAACATATTATAATTTGAAATAGATGGAGTATGTTATTACTATAGGCTAAAAAAAGAAACAACATGGCTCACCATGACAAAATAGTAATGATACCATTTAACAAAAAAATAAAAAAACATACATACACTCTGTTGGATCTTGTGACGAGAGATCTGATGGCTTAAATTAAAAATCAAAGAGTCCATACTTAATATAATTAGAAAATAATAGATTCAAAACAAAAAATTAATTTGATTTCCATACAACTTGGAACAAAAAATGACTAACCGCTTAAGACACAATTAGTAAACATAAAATTTAAGTAGAAATTATGGGAGGAAAGTTACCCAAATAAATAGTCCATACAACTTATTATAATTAGTAAACTATATACATTTAAAATTGAAGATTATAAATAAAATTAGTAGTTTGATTTCATATTTTGGAAAAACACACACAAATAATTAGTGTGCTTTTCAAAATCAAAGGACAAATAAGTAATAAATTTTTTTATTTAAAAACCAACTCTTTTACTCTCGCTAACTAAAAGCTATGACATTGATACTAGATTAAATCTATATTTTTAATGGTTGATATTCAATCAAATAGAAAAAAATAGAGTCCGATCCAATACATACCTCGGCACCGCTGCGGCACTTCTCTTCCATGTTTGGAGGCCTCTCCCTCTTGTGATCCGCCGGGGCATCATCCATCGCCGCACGTCCGGCAGCGTCGTCACTTGGCTTGTGGTCGTCATGGCCAGCGACGATAGCAGGCTCTTGGCCGCTGACAATCGGGTAGAGCCACGCCGCCATGTCGTCCTCTGAAGGCGGCAGGGCGACACTGGCGACGGCGACAACAACCGGAGGCTTGTTGGCTGCACCTCCATGCTGTTGCCTGCTACTCCGGATCCTCCTTGCCGCACCAAATCAAAGAGATCACCGCTGCGATAGCCGATAGATTTGAGTTGACACAAACATGAATTAAAAAGTTATATAATCTTTTTCCTAGAGTAACTTTATGTCTGTGCTTCAAGTCTTCACGTGCATATATATATACGGATGTGTGTGTTTATTAGCTACATATATTATTTACACAAAGGGCGAATGTGTGCATTCGAGAGGAACAAATAGAATGGAGAACATTGGATAAACTTTTTATTGATGGGGGAGTTTAGGACCAAACCAACTACATGCATTCACATAGATAGCTTCTTTGGAGACTGTGTTATTAGCTCGGTCATGACATACGAGGAGTGGCGAGCTCCGAACATCTCGAGGAAGTCCTCAAAGCCGGTGCTGCTGGCCTCGCCGGGATCGACGACGGCGGTGTAGCAGGCCGTTGAGCGGCCTCCTCCTGAACCCTGGCCATTCATCGTCATCTCCATATAAAGCAGCCTGCAGTCCGATCAGCTGCTATGGGAATACCTCCTAATCTAAGATGTTCGAGGTTGATAGACTTGATAGGATCTACTAGCCATAGATCTAGCATTTATACTGATATTTGGGATAAATAGCAAGTCCTAAAATATGAACTAGTATGGGATTTAGACATAGAGGGAGAGAGAGAGGGTGCGGAGGTGCAAACCATTGGCCGCCTTCGTAGAAGACGAGCTGACCATGGGGTTGCTTGTCGGTGGCGCGGTGAAGCCCGACGGTGAAGGCGCGGTCGCGGTGGCGGCGGTGCAGAGGCGGCTGTGGCCGGTGGCGGAGCTTCCTGTCGCTGGCAACGCCCCTTTCTAGATCGGCTAGGGTTAGAGGTGTAGGTGGGGTGTCTGGTGGCTCAGGTGAACCTCGTGCCTTGTGCCCCGGCCACCACCTCCCATTTTATGACGCTATGCGACGGGGGCCCACCATCCATGAAGCGGTTGGGCGCCCCCGTTCAAAGCGCGGATCCAAGGGCCAAATGGTGGATATCAATCTAACATTCTTTCCTTTAATCTCACCTTATGACATAAACTTAACCTACTTACTTTATCTTGTTCCCATTCCATCACAAATTAGTGCATAGAGCGTGCCTCATCCTCACGGTCTATTACCATTAGATTAAACAGGTACAATGCACCTCTCTGTTTTGAAAAAGATTCTCAACTAGGCCCTCATTGTCCATGAATCATAGGCTTTTTCTTAAACCTATGTCGGCTAAATGTTCTCTGAACACGCTAAATGGTAAGCCTTCTGTAAGCGGATCCGCGAGCATCTTTTCTATTCTTATATGCTCAAGACTAATTATATGATCCCGGACTTTGTCTTTCACAACATAATACTTTATGTCAATGTGTTTGTCAGTACCACTTGACTTATTTTTGTGAGCATAACATACTGCTGGATTATTATCACAGTATAACTTGAGTGGTTTATTTATATCGTCTACCACTTTCAACCCGGGCAAGAATTTCTTCAGCCAATTCACCTGCCCTGTGGCCTCATAACATGCTATAAACTCAGCATACATTGTGGACGATGTAGTGACAGTTTATTTTGAGCTTTTCCACGATATAGCTCCTCATGCCAGAGTGAATATGTATCCTGACGTGGACCTTCTGTCATTTCCCGCATAATTAGAATATGTATACCCCTCTATGTGCAGAAAATCAGATCTTCTGTATGTTAGCATGAGACCCTTCGTACCTTGCAAGTAAAGCAAAACTTTCTTTACTAATTTTCAGTGTTATATTCCTAGATTACTATGATATCTGCCA